TGTTGTGTCTTCCAGTCCTCATAGTGAGACTAGCAGCCTCGCTCCAAGGCAGGAGGTCTTGGTGAGTGAGAAAGTTCATTACAGTACCCAAACCATCGACATGCACGACAACCAGAATGTGAAGTAGTAGTTGAAGTAAAAATAAATAAATAAAAATGGCCTCCAGCAGTTGGCTGCAGAATTTGTGTTAATTTCTGCTTCCTCCATTTAAATAAATGGGACATTTTTTGTTATGGAAATTTTATATTTCATTGCTTTAATCCCATTCTCAAATGTCCCGAAGCATTCACACACACACACACACACACACACACACACACACACACACACACACACACACACACACACACACACACACACACACACACACACACACACACACACACACACACACACACACACACACACACACACACACACACACAGACCTCACTCCCACTCTTATCTAGTTGTTTAAATGACCTCTGTGATCAGATGTTCGGGACATTTTGCCTCGCGCATGTGCCGCAGTTATAACTGGTGGACTTGTCTGCTCATTATCTCCTTCTCCCTTCACTACAGGAAATGGGTTTATTGATAAAATCCACAACATTTTTCCTTCAGGTTTGTTGTCTGGCCCCGGCTCAAACACAGAAACATGACTCCACAACAAAAACGTGACATATCCATCACTAATCCATCAATGGTGCAGTCTGCCCTAACAAATGCCCCCATCTGCCCGTGTCTCAAAGAAAGGGCCAAGTCTAAGTCGTCCAAAGTTAAGGAGCGCCATTCCGGAGCCGATCCTATATTTGTTGTTTTGCTTTGTTGCAGCTCTGCCATTATCCTACCAGAGAACATCTTTGTCGTAATAAAGCTAAGCCTGCCCAGCGTCTGCTGTGTGGCGGAGTTGATAATGCTAATGGTTAGCTTCAACTAAACGTTTTCTTCTGATTCCTGGACGCTAAACCAACAACAGCGTTCCCAATCATGAGTCAAGATGGGTGAGTCCATGAATGTTAGTGATAGGGTGACGTGGATCTGTCAGGATTTTCTATCCTAGAGTTTCACCGTCTGTTTTCTATCAGAAGCTACTGCAGGAGACAGGTGTAGGAGACTATTTTCACGTTCAGCCTGCATGAGAAACCCTCAGCTGGTCACTTTCAGAAATAATGAGTAAAAAATGGTTTCTCAGTGAAGGACCTCTTTAAACAACTCATGACCTGAAGGGTTAGGGTTAGGTTTGAGCTTACAGTGAGAGTGTGGCCAAAGCAGAAACCAATAAGCACAGCTTTCTTTTCAGGTGCCCTTAAGCAAGGCACTTCACCCACCAGCTGCTCTCTGAACATGTTTAATTTGACCATTAAACTTGACTATAGAGTCACTCAAAGGTGGGCGGAGGTTTCTACCTGTTCAACCTTTTAATTCTGCTTGTTTCTCAGACGTTTACGTGACAACGTTTCCAACTCCTGACATGTCGGTTCTGAACAAGGTGGCCTTTAGACAAGTCAACATTCCAGTTGAATTCAGTTCATTTTGCCAATTAGTAAAAAGTTTCCTGTGTATGGAAACCCAACAGATAGCATCGAGTTGCATCGAGTCACTGACTCATCCCCATCCCCATACTTGATGCTACAAAATACATTTTATTCTAAACCGAATGAATACAGAATTCCATTGAATGCATTCAAGCGCTCAGTTGAGACGTTTTGAAACTTCAAACATTTACCAACATTTTATTTTGTGTACTGAATGTGCATAAATGCACGCGGCCACTGCCGTGCGCACGCTTCTGTGTGTAAGCAGCCGTGTGCAGCGGGACCCCCACCAAGGTAAAAGGTGTTTCTGCTGACAGGAGCATATTCCAGGTAATGGGACCCCTCTGTTGTCCCAGAGCAGAGCACTAAAGCAGAACTGAGCTCTGTCTTCGACTACACGCACCACCGACTCTCCAGATGACAAAATGCCTCAGTAGCTGACCGAATCAAGTACAATAAAGCTGAAAAAGAAGAAAGGAAATTGAAGGGGAAACTTGCAGATTTGTCACATTTTGCTGTCTAGGCAGGAAAGTGTGTATTTTCTATTGGGAAGGCTGTCTGTCAGCTGAGCACTGTACAAAGAAACTTTGTTCTGCAGAACAACACCTTTTAAAAGCCCCGCATGGTGATTTAGCTATGAGAGAAGTAAATGTGTCTATAGGCATGGCTCATTATGTGCATGTCACTGAAGCAGGTAATTTTATTCCAGCAGAGCAGCCTTGTAATGGGGAGAACACCTGAGAGAGCAGAGGGATGATGAAGTAAACCAAGAGGAGACAGAATAATGAGAAGTGGATTAAAACAAGTTTCAGAATAAATGACAGGCTGCATTAACAAACTATAAATTATTCCTTTTTGGATTTACATACTTTCATTGTACTTCTTCAGATCACACAAATAAAACAACAGCTGAGTGAAACATCCAATGAATTATTAAGCACATGAATTAGTTAGGATTTCCTCGGCTCGGGAGCAAAACTGTTGCAGGCGCATTGTCTTCACCGGGGGGGGGCATAGCTCCCTGAGCCAAAGGGTTGGTCTCCTGCATGATCTCCGTAGATACGGAGTGAAGAGGAAGTCCGGACGGCCAAACTGGACCAACGCATCATAAAGTTCAGAGCTGAAGTTGTAAAGTATGTCTAGGTGTTGTAAAGACTAACAATGGTGGCTCGGGAACTAGGCAGTGTGGGTTTGCTTTTAGCACCCCCTAGTGTCCGTTTGTAGAACCGAAAGCTAAATCTATCTCCCCGCTTCACGCTCATCTTTTTAACACCTTAACCTAACAACTCAAATGTTCCCCAGCCTTCGTTAGCGTCCACAGGAGTGATTCATCACTAAATCAAATAAATCAGCTGTGTTCATGATCTATAGCATGCAGGAACCAGACTGCAGCGCCAGGTATGTCAGCTCCAAAGTCCCAACGGAGCAGCCTGCCAGTCTGAAGTTGTAAATGGGATATTCTGGCCACAGGGGGCGCTAGGGGCTGGGTGGCCTTACATTAACCCTGTAAAGAGTCATTTTAGCGCATACTGGCTCAAGAAAATGATTTAAATATGTGAGAAAGTTGCAAAGTATGCCTTAAAGACCCACATTGCAAGAAAAAGCACACATTTTCAGTTGGAATTTGACTATCTTGGTACACTGTTGTAGGGCTGTTGTGAATGGACGTGCCATGAAGGTGTTTTTGACATTACTGCTGAATTCTAACAGCTGTGACTGTTGTGGGAAGTTTCTTGCCACACATTTGTCTCTCGATGTCTCACTTCTGTCTTTGTTTGTTCACAATTCATCCTTTCACCATAAATGTGTTGAATTTGGTCACTTACTCATGCCAGAGGGTTCAACTGAACTAAAACGGTTCAGGAAACGTTCCAGATGACTTTGCAACGATTTTGAGAAAAACTATTTTCTCGCTAATCGTTCTCACAAATCGAGTGACTCACCTGAGAAAACAGAAAGTCTTTTGAGACATTCTAGAAACTCACTCACAAAAACCTTTGTTTGCATTTTGTTGCCATAGCAACCCAGTGTCATACTGGGCTGACGGGAGCTAATTTAAGCTAATTCAGAACAGACACAAATAAGCATCTTTGAGAGGTAAACACAACACTTCTGAACTACACAAGCTGAAATCATACGTTTTAGAAATAAATCTGCAGACCCGAAACACATCTGCAGGGTCTGGACGAGGATTTTCCAGCTGTGTTTGACTACCACTAAACTGAGTTACTTCAACAAAACTAAACAAAAATAACTTCCTTGATAAATGTTGAGAATTAAACTTCATTCTTTAACTATGTTTTAAAAAATATAAAAATATGTAATAAACTCTGACATTTTCATCCCTTTTGCCACACAGCTACAACTAAACCAGTTGTGTTTTATTATATAGACTAAATAGGCTAGGTTAGTTTTCTCTGTAGTTATGCTGCTATAGGCTTAGACTGCTGGAGGACACACTGACCACTTTCCACACTCGACTGCTTTCTTCTACAATCTGCTCTTTAACTGTATTATTTCCTGCTATTTCAGCTGTTAACTTTATTTTCTCTCTAAGTGTTTTTCTCCCCAGAAGAAGCTACAACGACGTTCTGCTGAGCTGTGGTGGCCTCATGGAGGGGGCCATCGACTAGCACACTGCTGCTAACCACTTAAACATTCTCCCTCTCCTGATAATAACTTTTTGTTTTCATTGACGTTGGATGTGCTACTACTAGTTTACCCGTTTAATTATAGATTCACTAGGATAAATACAATAAAGTTTATCTCTCACCACATAGAATATTTACTAAGAAATCACAATGTAACTATAGACACGTGTGTGTGTGTGTGTGTGTGTGTGTGTGTGTGTGTGTGCGTGTGTGCGTGCGTGCGTGCGTGCGTGCGTGCGTGTGTGTGTGTGTGTGTGTGTGTGTGTGTGTGTGTGTGTGTGTGTGTGTGTGTGCCTGCTCTGTCTTCTCCATCCCCAGTGAGTCGTGGAGGATGGCTGCTTATACTGAGCCAGGATTCTCTGGAGGTTTCTTCCTGTTAAAAGGGAGTTTTCCTCTCCACTGTCGCTGCATGCTTGCTTAGTATGAGGATTGCTGTATAGTCACTGACACTAGTCAGTGACTTGATGCGACCTGCTGGGTTCCTTATATAGGAAACATTATTCCTGATTGGCTTAATGAACTGACCTGAATTGGAATGTTTATTATGTGAAGTGCCTTGAGACGACTCTTGTCGTGATTTGGCGCTTTATAAATAAACTTAAATTGAATTATTGACACGATTTCTGTTGATTGTAAAAAAAAAAAACAAGCCAGTCTGTTCACAAACACAAGTGCTAACCTCGCCCTGCCCCTTCCCCTCAACATGCGGCTGCAGAATTCATCAGGACCCAAACAAACCGACTGCTTCCATACAACCTGGTAAAGATACACATGGTAAAGTCCCACTATTTCACTTGAGCTCTTTAAATCTGTTCTGTTTAGCGTTACCGACCTTGCAACAGTGGTTGGCCCTTCTGGAAAGGTCCGCTGTACACCACCTGGTAGTTTTTGACCTGGAAGCCAGCCACACAGGCCTCGTGGCCTCCGTCCTCTTGGCCACTGACATGAACAATCTGCAACAGAAAGCAAGACAGCGATCAGCTAACTCATATTAACACTTGATTTCTCTGTAAACAGGAAAATGCAAAGGAAAAGTCACGTGTTTTGTGAACACTGGGCAGATTTGGAATGCCAGTAGTTTGATTTCCTCTGCAAAATATTCTTGGTTCATCGGTCATTAAAGATGATCATTTAGCTTCTTGGTGTAAATAAAATGTGGTTGTCAGCTTATAGTGGAGATTGTTGTAATAAGTCAACAAGGAATGGTTTCCTTTTTATTGAGCATAGAGGAATACATTTAATTATGTTCTGGTCAATATTGAATTATTTTAGGACTTTCAGCTCAGAGGATTCATTTTATTGAATTCCTGATAAGTTATGGCAAACTCTGGATGCCGTGTGCAACATTTCCTCTTGTGCAAAAGGCCAAAGCAGTAAACAAAATGGAAAGATGCAGCATGTTCTGTTTGCTGTATTAATAAAAACAGCTGTGGTATTCTACTGTAATTGTTATTATCCAGTGGAAATGGTTTTGGTCAGAAACCCGGGGCCTCATTTATCAGCCGTGCTTACGCACCAGTCTGTGCGTATATCGTGTGTAGGAACCATTTACGCGTTGTCTGGTATTCATCATTGTACCTGTGCCCGGAAATGTTCCTAAATATGAGAAAACTTCAGACCGTGTGTAGGAACAGCAGCTAGAGGTGGAACGAAGGAACCTCAACCATGGGTGAAATTCGGCGGGGGGGGGGGGGGGGGGGGGGGGGGGGGGGGACACACACGTCCCCCCACTTTTTCCAAAGACAAGTTTTGACCCCTGCAATTTTTACCATCCAGACACAACATTATGCTATATTAAATTGACACTGGTTGAGCTCTAGGACCAAGTGGAAAACAACCGTTTGTGTTGAAGCCTGTTCTCCCCCCCCCCCGTGTCCCCCCCACTTCTAAAGTTAAAATTACGTCCATGACCGCAACACCGAAGGTCTCAGTCGTCCACACATGTTCCTCATCCAGAAATCATTTTACCCATTAAATAAATAGTTCGGTGTAAAAACAGAGTCACATAATTACAGTCCCAATGTTTACTCTTCCCATATGTCTGAGGTTTTAATTGTTTTTAATGAATGAATATTAGTTTTTAATTGAATCTAATTCATTATTTTTTGCCCTTGTGAAGCTCCTCCTGATGTTGCTTGACGTGCGCCAGATAAAAGATCGTTTCTTATAATTATTAATACGGGTGTGTCAGAGCGTGCCCAGTGGAGTAAACGTGTTTCCGTGAGCGCACTGACAGGAGATGCGTCTGGATCTATGCTGGCATTTGGGACCCATTGTGAAGCGACAGACAAACCGCATGAATCCGATTCCGGTCCATATTTTATTTTACAACTACGAGAACCCTCCAGAGCCTCCTCTGCTTCCAGATCACACACTCGTTGCCAAGGCAACCAGACCGAATGACAGTTCAGAAGAGGCTGCAGTCAGACAATTCCAAATAAAACCAACTCCAACCAGAAGGACCCCTTCAAGGTAAAATGTAAATGTTAATTAATCTACGTTATATATTCACTGTTTTATTTATTCCTGTTAGGAACCTCTCCTCTGTCCCGAGCACGATTAAAACTTCTGTAACTTGTCTGCTTGTTTTGCTCTTCAGCAGCAAGTGTCTCGATCTCGCTGTCAATAAAGTTTTTATTTGGGGGGGCAGGGAATTCCCTCACAAGCGGAGGATGTAGTTCATCCAAATCTGGCTAATTGAGAGCGTTTCTTAATGACAATGACTGAGACACGAGCATCTGGGTACGCACGGGTGGGATTCATCATCAGATGACTGCGGAGGAACGTGCGTAAGAGAGGCCACCGCATGTTTCATAAATCAGGTTTTTGACCGTTTGTACGAACGCTCTAAATTTCGATCATAGGAAGGAATTTAGGAATATTTCTACGAACGTTGAAATGAAGCCCCAGAGGTGAGGAGATGGAGAGGTTATCAATAAATCCAGGGGAAAAAACTTACTGAGAGGGTTTGATGATATTGGACTGAAACTGAGACGGAGATTAAATGAATGATTTCATGCCTCAGTATCAGTCACAGTCAAAGATTCCTCTATCCGCCCCAGTCGATAGTAATTTAAAATGTCACATTGCTGTGAGAAGAAGCTGCAGCTCATGCTTGATACTAAACAGCTGACACCATTTATATCTAAATAAACAGTACAGTCTGGAGCTGCTCTGGGTTTCTCTCTCTAAGTCTATCAGACACGGTTTAGTTTGCATCTATAAAAGTCACAATAAGTCATATAGTTACGTCTAAATCTGAATCATCTAGCTCAGATTTAGGGATTCTTCAATAAGCTCTCTTTACCGTTCCTCAGCCAGTCTTAGCCAATAATCCATGAGAATAAGGATGCACTACAGATGTGTGCACAGTGAAGAGATGCCAGTGAACCCAAAGTGTGTTTCTCTGCCGAGTAGAAGGACGCTGAGCATTAAGAACAGTGCAACAAGGAACATGAAAATGGGATCCTCTCTGTCATCCAGATACAGAGTTGCTGAGACATCATTCAAAGCAAAGAAAAGTACCACTTCTATCTGGAAAAAGGAGAACATAAGATTTCAAGGAGCCTTAATGATCAGCAGCAGTAAATGTCTCCCATCCCAGTGGACAAGTGCACATGGCGGAGGATTAAAGTGTTAGAGTGATGGTAATCTGTACCAGGGGCGGCGTTAGGCCCGGCTACTTGGGCTGAAGCCCCGGATCTGAAACGCGGAAGTAACATGCAGTACCAAAGTCCAACAGAGAGGGAGCAGCTGGCAGTAGTTTGTATACAGCCTGCCTGAGCCTCCACCACTGAAGAAGAAGCCCTTCAGCAGCCGGCTTCTTCTACACTCTCTGCCTGAAACGCATGAGTGAAGATGGACATAAGGACGTTTTTAGACCAAAAGTACGGCGACAGAACCCCAGTTTTGATGAGACTGGTGCTGACTCAGGTTTGTGAGTCTTATTAGAAAATATTTGTTGTGCTGCTGGTTTGCCTAAAGTTAGCTTACTATCAGGTAAAGTTGTTGGAGAAAGAAAGGGAATATTTACTATCATCTCACACTAAACACTAACAGGAACAATACTCTGCCCTGAATATGCTTAATATGTAGCTTCAGATTAAAAATTATGTGGTACAAGACACATATATATGATGTTGACTAGTGTGTGCCACGTGTGTGTGCGTGTGTTAAGCCCCGGATGTCTGTCAGTGACTCGATGCGACCTGCTGGGTTCCTTATATAGGAAACATTATTTCTGATTAGCTTAATGAACTGAGCCGAATTGGAATGTTTATTATGTGAAGTGCCTTGAGACGACTCTTGTCGTGATTTGGCGCTACATAAATAAACTTGAATTGAATTGAACTGAATGTTCTTCAGTCCTTAATCCGCCCCTGATCTGTACTTTGTAGTACTGAAACATGGGTATTTATGATAGTATTCATAACGATTAGAGGGAATGCATAAACAGCAAATCAACCGTAAGTCTAATTTAGGATGAAATATGAGAAATAGTTTATTTAGCTAAACTTTCAAACTGCAGACTCTGGACTCCCCGTGGAGATCTGTCAGCATGAAGAACAAGCTCTGCAGAGACTCCGAGAGGTCATAAAGTGTAACGTCCCAGGAAAGTGATCAGCGCCCTCTGGGGACTTCCTGCATGAGTCAACATGTTAGTTCAGTTGTAGCACGAGCCTTTCCTGATGCGGCGGGATGCAAGTGGGTCTGTAAACTGGGTCTAGTTAACAAAAGAGAGATTCTAGGATTCTAGACGTAGAACACGCAACGGGAGATGAATGCAACGGAAAGCTGAAACAGCCACCTCGCTCCATTCAGACACCTCAACAGGCCACAGCGACACAAACACCCATTTTAGTTTCCATTAGGAGGAAAATATTACCATCCGTCCCCAGTGAGTCACAGGAGGACGGTGAAAGCACTTAGGTAACACAATGTTAATGGCAATGCTGTTTGCAAAAAGGACTATTACTGGGGACTAATACTGCAATTTTCCTCATCAGGAAGGCGTTCAGCTGTGTTGTGGAAATATGAAGGTTAGAAAATACGCTGCCCGGAAAAATAAAGTCACCACCAAATAAAGGTCACACACTAACATTTCATTGGAATGCCTTTAGCCTTGATTACAACACACGCTCGCTGTGGCGTTGTCCCAATAAGGTTCTGCAGCATCACCAGATTTCATCCATACAGCGTTGCATTAATGATTCACCAACATCTTGCACTGATGATGGTAGAGTCTGGCCGCTGCACAAAGCCTTCTTTAGCACATCCCAAAGGTTCTCAACGGGGTTAAGGTCTGGACTCTGTGGTGAAAACGATGTCTCCTGCTCCCTGAACCACTCTTTCACTGTTTGAGCCCGACCAGTCCTGGCATTAGCTACGTTTACACGAGCACAAGTAATCAGAATAAATGCCCTATCAGATCAAAAAGTCTTCATGTAAACATGTGAATCGGAATATTCTGATCCGATATGACGAGATCGGAGTAAAATTCCATTCTGATTGAGAGAGGTGGTTTGTCCGATCATCTGATGGACGTCCATGTGCACACCTGTTCGGATAGTTGGAGTAAAAGAATGCCCACTGCTCAACTAAAGCGTGGCGTCTTTCCACCCTTGCAGACGCTCAGGACTAGTCGAAAGCACATGGGAAGTAAACAGAAGTGGTCTGTTGATGTTTTATATTTTCACTTTTTTTTCCCTGGACGCACTACGGGAGCTCCGTGCTACTGAACGCTTCGATGATCGGAAGGCTAGAAAGTAAGAAAGCAGAGTAATACACCCAGGTGCTGTAGCTCAGTTAGAGGGATCAGTGAAAATAAAAGCACACAGGTAAAAATGGAAAGACGGTCCATAATGGGGCTAAACAACATGGGTCGGGGGCAAAGTTAGAGAATAAAAAACAGAAAAATGCGAGGGAAAAGTCGCGAGGACAGGATGCCGTTTGT